ACTGAACTTAGCACAATATCTATTGTAAAATACTAATTATCATATATACTCAAGTATAAGCCAACTTTTTCAGCACATTTTATATGCTGAAAAAGCCCCCCCTCGGCTTATACTCGAGTGAGGGTAATCTGCAAGGAAGAAATCGACGCGCCTGCTGATTGGTCAGTGTTGAGGAGGGGGGCGAGGTTTGATGCAGCTCCGCGGCTCTGCACTCAGTATGGTGATGGTTAAACATAGAAACATAGAATGTGACGGCAGATAAGAACCATTCGGCCCATCTAGTCTGCCCAATTTTCTAAATACTTTCATTAGTCCCTAGTCTTATCTTATAGTTAGGATAGCCTTATGCCTATCCCACGCATGCTTAAACTCCTTTACTGTGTTAACCTCTACCACTTCAGCTGGAGGGCTATTCCATGCATCCACTACCCTCTCAGTAAAGTAATACTTCCTGATATTATTTTTAAACCTTTGACCCTCTAATTTAAGACTATGTCCTCTTGTTGTGGTAGTTTTTCTTCTTTTAAATATAGTCTCCTCCTTTACTGTGTTGATTCCCTTTATGTATTTAAATGTTTCTATCATATCCCCCTGTCTCGTCTTTCCTCCAAGCTATACATGTTAAGATCCTTTAGCCTTTCCTGGTAAGTTTTATCCCGCAATCCATGAACCAGTTTAGTAGCCTTTCTCTGAACCCTCTCTAAGGTATCAATATCCTTCTGAAGATACGGTCTCCAGTACTGTGTACAATACTCCAAGTGAGGTCTCACCAGTGTTCTGTACAATGGCATGAGCACTTCCCTCTTTCTACTGCTAATACCTCTCCCTATACAACCAAGCATTCTGCTAGCATTTCCTGCTGCTCTATTGCATTGTCTGCCTATCTTTAAGTCATCAGAAATAATCACCCCTAAATCCCTTTCCTCATATGTTGAGGTTAGAACTCTATCAAATATTCTGTACTCTGCCCTTGGGTTTTTACGTCCAAGATGCATTATCTTGCACTTATCACATTAAATGTCAGTTGCCACAATTCTGACCATTTTTCTAGTTTACCTAAATCATTTGTCATTTGGCTTATCCCTCCTGGAACATCAACCTGTTACATATCTTAGTATCATCAGCAAAAAGAGATACCTTACCATCAAGACCTTCTGCAATATCACTAATAAAAATATTAAAGAGAATGGGTCCAAGTACAGATCCCTGAGGTACCTCACTGGTGACAAGTCCAAGCTTCGAATATATTCCATTGACTACAACCCTCTGTTGCCTGTCACTCAGCCACTGCCGTACCCATTCAACAATATTGGAATCCAAACTTAAAGATTGCAGTTTATTGATAAACCTTCTATGTTCAACAGTGTCAAAAGCCTTACTGAAATCTAGGTAAGCAATATCTACTGCACCACCCTGATCTATTATTTTAGTTACCCAATCAAAAAAATCAATAAGATTAGTTTGGCATGATCTCCCTGAAGTAAACCCATGTTGTCTCTGATCTTGAAATCCATGTGTTTTTAGATGTTCAACAATTCTATCCTTTAACATGGTTTCCATCACTTTCCCCACTACTGAAGTAAGGCTTACTGGCCTATAGTTGCCGACTCCTCCCTATTACCTTTCTTGTAAATGGGCACAACATTCGCTAACTTCCAATCTTCTGGGACTACTCCTGTTAACAATGATTGGTTAAATAAATCTGTTAATGGTTTTGCTAGTACACCACTAAGCTCTTTTAATAGCTTTGGGTGTATTCCATCAGGTCCCATTGACTTATTTGTCTTTACTTTTGACAGTTGAAATAGAACCTCTTCCTCTGTAAACTCGTGTAATAAATGACTCATTTATCCTTTTTCTCAACTGAGGTCCCTTTCCTTCATTTTCATCTGTAAATACAGAACAAAAATATTCATTGAGGCAGTCAGCTAGACCTTTATCCTCTTCTACATATCTTCCTTCTTTTGTTTTTAATCTAACTAATCCTTGTTTTACTTTTCTTTTCTCATTTATGTATCTAAAAAAAGTTTTGTCCCCCTTATTTACTGACTGTGCTATTTTCTCTTCTGTGTGTGATTTGGAAGCTCTTATAACTTGCTTAGCCTCTTTCTGCCTAATCTTATAGATCATTTTGTCTTCCTCACTCTGGGTTTTTTTATAATTCCTAAATGCTAACTTTTTGTTTTAACTATTTTGGCCACATCTGCGGAGTACCACAGTGGTTTCTTGAATTTTTTGCTTTTACTGACAAGCCTAATGCAATTTTCTGTTGCCTTCAATAGTGCAACTTTTAAATAATCCCATTTAAATTGCTCCAGTCTGATAATGACTCCTCTACCCATATTCTAATTTTAGAAAAGTCTGTTTTTCTAAAGTCTAAAACTTTAGTTTTTGTGAGGTGTGACTCAGTCACTGTTCTTATATTAAACCACACTGACTCATGATCACTGGATCCTAAACTTTCACCTACAGTAACATCTGATACCAAATCTCCATTTGTTAACACTAAATCTAGTATGGCCTCTTTACGAGTTGGCTCCTCAACAACTTGTTTTAGAGACAATCCCAGTGGGGAGTTTAGAATATGTGTGCTCCTGGCACAAGTAGCTAATTTTGTTTTCCAATTTACATCAGGAAGATTAAAGTCACCCATGATGATAACTTCCCCCTTCATTGCCATTTTAGCTATTTCCTCAACTAGTAGATTATCTAACTCTTCAATTTGTCCTGGGGCCTATAAATCACACCTACACGAGTTACTGTGTGATTACCAAATTCTAACGTAGCCCAAGCGGACTCTATGTTTGCCTCACTAACTTTTATTAGGCTAGATTTTATGCTATCCTTCACATACAAGGCCACCCCTCCCCCTTTCTTGCCTTCCCTATCTTTCCTATATAAAGAGTACCCTGGTATTGCTATGTCCCAGTCATTTTTCTCATTGTACCATGTCTCAGTAACAGCGACTAAATCTACACTATCAGTTTCCATTATTGCCACAAGTTCATGGATCTTTTTCCCTAAACTGCGAGCATTTGTAGACATGACTCTAAGCTTATAATTTTTTAACACACTTGCTACAGGCACCTTCTGTCCTTCTTTTGGGGGACAATTGGATTGATGTTTTATCACCCTTTTGCCCCCCCCCCCTCCTAGTTTAAATACATCCTAGCAAAACCTCTGAACTGCTCACTGAGAACATTTGTTCCCTTTTGAGAAAGATGCAAACCATCTTTTTTTGTACAGCTTATCTCCATTCCAAACAGAGCTACCATGAGAAATAAAGCCAAATCCTTGCTCCCGACACCATTCACCAAGCCACAAATTAAAGTCCCTAATACGCATCCGCCTGTCGTTCTGAGTGTTATGCACAGGCAGAACTTCAGAGAATGACAGTGTGGAAGTAACCTGCCGTATATCATTGGCAAAAACACTAAAAACTTCCTTAACCTCTGAAACCTCATTGCAAGCCAAGTCATTTTGTCCCTAGATGGACAAGTATATCCAATTCCCCTTCCTGCTTTGCTCGCTTAACAATATTACAGATACGTCTCCTGTCTCTCTGAGCAGTAGCTCCGGGAAGACACCTCACAAGACCACCATTGTCCATCTCCACACCTCTTATAATGGAATCTCCCAACAACAACTGCTTTCTATTAGGCCTCACCATAGTCTCCAAGCCGGTCTCCACAACACCACTAGCCTCAGTGCCTCTCTCCACAACACCATTACACTCTGAAAGTGCAGAAAATGAATTATGAAGAGCAACAGACTGTACAAAATGCCTTTTATCCACAACTCTAAGTCTACCAGATCCTACAGTAATCCATCTGCCTTTCCTAGCATGTCTCTGCGGCAGTGGCTTTGCAGCAGTTCCAGTCTGAGTTTCTTCACCAGATAATTTACAAATCTCAGACTTCAAAAATACAATCTCCTGCCGCAAGATAGAGAACTGTGTACAGATTAGACAACAACCAAACCTCCAAAAAGTGGAGCGTGAAACAAATGCATAGCAATTGTTACACTGAACTAAGCCTGCCATTCCAATTATAAGAATAATTTAAATCTAACAAATCTTAACTTTTTTCTTTATCCTCCTGAATACCTCAGATTACCTCCAGGTTATCTCCAGGTTATCTCCAGAATATCTCCAACTACACACTTAGAAACAGCACTCTCCAGAATATCTCCAACTACACACTTAGAAACAGCACTCTCCAGAATATCTCCAACTACACACTTAGAAACAGCACTTAGATGAAGCACCAAGCTATATTAGACAAGCTAATGAGACCAAGCCTTATATAACTCCTTAAATCACCGCCCACTAGGAATGTTTAACACCTGGGTAGGCCTCTGCTTATTTGCAAACAATAGCTAGTAACTAGCTTAATCAAATCAAATGCCTTATAATTACCAAAGCTGCAGGATTGTTGTGCTCCGAGCCCCCGGAGTAGGTAAGTGGCCGTGAAATGGGTAGTTTCACATTTAGCAACTGACAGAGGAGATTGATTCAACGGGAAGAGAGATGGCAGGGAAAGAAGAGTGAATAAAAGAATTAATGGCAGTGGGTGAAAAGTGAATGAAAAGGGAGATGGCTGGGAGAAATTGTGAATGAAAGGAAATGGTAGAAAGAAGGATAGTATATATTGGAGGAGACAAACGGCAAAGAGAATTAAAGTAAAACAGATGGCAGGGAAGGGAGAGAAAACACAGTCATGTCAGAGGGAGTGAAAATCAGAAGAATGAATGAATGAAATGGTAAAGGAGACCGATTGATTAAAGAGCTGGGTGTAAAGGATGGAAGATGTTAACACATGAAATTATGAGATTATGTATTCATTTTTTATTAAAAAAAAAAAAAAAAAATCGAACAAAATGTTACAGATACAGCAATTTACACATAAAGAAAATATCTGCACTATTACAAAAATGTCAAAATATTTTCAAATAGATTTTAAAAAGAAATGAGCACCTTTATTAACCCCTTAAGGACACAGCTTCAGAAGCTGGATATACACTTAAGGACACAAGCACCTTTTGCACTTTTTGCTGTTTGTGCTCAACCGCAAATTTTGAAAATTTGTAGCTGCTGCATTTCTCACCCTAGCCTTATACTCGAGTCAATAAGTTTTCCCAGTTTTTTGTGGTAAAATATTCGGGTCGGCTTATACTCGAGTATATACACGGTAGTCTCTTCAGGTAACGTGATCCTTAACCAGACAAAGGCAGATCTTAATAAAGGAATATTATGAGCAAAAAATATAGTCACAGTGCATACAATAATATAGATGACAATCAAATTAGCTGCACCACCAACAGATAAAAACAAAAGGGATAAAACAGAAGTCCTAGTCACTTACTCAAGTTTTATTTTGAAAACTTGTACCCCAGGGGGTCTCTGGTAAGAAAGATGGTGGCTCACTTAGAATTAGATTCTGGCCCCTTAAGCAAGTACAAAGACACATTTCAGAATCATTAGACATATACCCTGTCGATTACCAAGCCCCACCCAGAGGTGGAGATAAGGCATACCTATAGTAACTATAAGTGACCACCCCCTTGTGTTCCAGACCCACATCAATCCAAATAGAAATGTTTTCTTCCATCTCCTCTTTTGTACTTGCCACAGAAATAATAATTGCCTCTCTGAATTTGTTACCATTTCTCCATTCCATAGATAAGTCACACTTCTTACTTGTGACCCAATACAGCGGACATCACAATCCCTTCCCCTATGGTTAAGTTATGCCAATCAAGTTTGGGTTTGTTTAGAAGATGGCGCTTGTCACATTCCAAATATAACAAAAATGAGGCTTAATTATTATTCTATGGGTAAATATTAATGTTTCTTTCTTTTGGATACGACACTGGAACACAAAACTTGTTTTTTCTCTTTTCTTGAAAGCTAATGATCATTAACATATCAAAGAAATCCAATCATCAATTAAAAGGTAGAGGCCATATGGCTGAAGTCAGCTAGTTTACATTGGAGACAGACTTGCAGGCAACTTATGTGTGACTTCTCACATCTTACAGAGCCTTTGATTAATCAAGGGATCAACCATATGCAAACCATCTGCCTCCTTTAACATTCCTATGCAATTCACACTACCCCTTCTGTCATCTGATCTTGCAATCGAGTGGTCAATTCATATCTGCACTACATAAATGACATTAAATGGCAATATTCTATTGTGTATTAATGAATTATGCACCCTTGGCGTGACAATACCCTTAAAAAGATATGTTCCAAATTGGAACTTGATACGAACAGGATTGGGTAAATGGAGAGCACCTTTTTTCTGATGTCGGTCCAACAGCTATCCTCGTTGCACATTACACACAAGGCCAATTACTAACAATGGTCTCCTATCGAGACATGTTCTTAAAAACAATTCACTATGCCCATTATTGTTCATACTGCATCTCTCTCATGGCTAGTAGGGATTCAGAAACATGTTTAAGATGTATACACCAAAGCAGACTGATATCACTGTCTGAGGGAGTGTGGTCCAATCAGGTCCTTTTGGGGAAATGTCAATCACCATTTAGACTATCATAACATGCCCTTTTTGTCTCTTCAACCAGGGGTTTCTGGTCTTGGGACCACTCTCGGGTAATTCCATTCTTCACAGAAGATTTTAACCATCATAGCAGCAGTGGTAAATGGTAATAATGATAATAATAATAATAATAATAATAATAATAATAATAATAATAATACAAGATTAGAGAAACCCTGAAGTGCACAGCCTGGTTCTCGGTGGAGATGGTGGCAGAACAAGACCCATTACGAGACATACCTCGAATCATCTTTTTATGCGAATACTGCTATGGCGGAAGTTAGGTGGGAGGGGGACACTCTGTGGTGTAGACAAGTTGTTGTTTATCTGAGGTTAGATTTAGTATTTACAGGCCAGCTAGTTTTCTCCTTTACCTGGACAAGTTTTCATTCATGGCTTGTGGCCCCATTGCCAAGGAAGGGTATCTGCCCCTTGCCTCCAACCAGTACTTTGCCTTTTACTAGAGGCAACAAACGAATCAGGCATTTCCGGAGTGGATGTCTATTATCCAGGGAGAGTGCAGGGAAATTACATGTCAGGAGAATGATATAACAGGACAGGGTCTAAACGTTTGAATGTATGCATGTTTTTTGTTCTACTTTCTCTTCTATACTCTGGTATGTATTTTTTTTTATTTTTAAATGTTTTGGACTGTCAAACATCGTTAAACTATGTACAGTATGATTCTTCTTCTTAGTGTACCTGCTCCTTTCGGCACTCCTAATGAGGAGAGGAAGAGAGTTTTGAATTTTGTACACTGTCCATAACTTTTGTTTTGTTATTATTTTGTCCCAGTATAAACAACAACAAAAAAAATTTGGGATGTTAATTATCACTGCAAACATTAAAAAAAAATTTCATTCAAGTTTTTTTTTATTTTTAACACACATTAAAATATATGTTAAGATAAAGTGTCTTCTGTGATACACAAAAGGGAGGAGAAATGTAAGGAAGTCTGCCATATGAAGTTGTGTGCATAAAAAGAGTTGAAAAATAATAATTCTATCTTGAAAAAATAAATGTAAAATTAAAAAAAATTTACCTTTTTTTTTCCCAGTGGCAAAAGTATAAATAAAAAAATAAAAAAAAGACATGAAATAATCACAAGTTCATTCACATTTTGTCTGTCCTGCAGAATCAGATAGTTCACTTAGATCTTCTGTCTCTAGATTTCCATGCAGTACTCCTGAATTACTGGTTTCAGGACGAACACGTTCGATAGGATGACCAAGCTCCTCCAATTGTTTCTTTTGTGTCATTTCCAATTCCTCAAGTCTCTTGCGAACCAAAGAGAGTTCTCTTTGATGATGCTCTTCCTAAAATAAAATAGAAACCCAATAAGAACAAAACAAACCAATAGATATGTTTACTACGGTCACCTTAACCAGATAACACTTAAATGCGTTTACTTGATAGCACTTCCTGCTATAATTCTAATTATTTTACAATTTTAAACTGAAAGGATAAAAAAAAAAAAAAAAACTATCAAAAATTGCTTATGTAGATTGTACTAATATACAAGGAGGTAAAATTATTCACCTGGATATTATAGAATGAAAATTCAGCTCCTGGAAGCATCGTGGAGGACAGATGGGGCGGATTCAGGAGACCAGAACCTGGAATGTTTGGACCCAAAATTAAGCCCCTAAATTCATTATGTCTACGTTGCAGATCCTTGAGCCGTTTCTGAAGTCTGCCACACTCTTCACGAGGAACGTTTTGCCTTATGGGAAATTCATATTTTATTAAAAGAAAAAAAAACTGTTTTAAATATCTTTATTTAAATTACACTAGATCATGGCATGTAAACATTCCCACCTCCTCCACCCATTACCGTTTTCAGTAATAAAGTGCTAATAAACTAGTAAAATATTTTTATTATTGTTCTTTTTTAATTCCTGAACAGACACTCTGGAGAGCTGAATAGGAGAAACATTGGCAGAGCAGGAGGCATTCTCCAATTCAGCTATTTTTCCCAACTAGGCTTATCTGGTCAAAAACTTTTTGGCTCTGCACCATTCCCCACAGTTCTATATATACAGTGAACACAAATAAATGAGCAGTTCCATTCTACAGAGAGTGTATTTATCATGTAATGTATAAACAGCAGCAGACCTAGAGCTCCTGCAAACGGTTACCATGATATGCCAAATAGCAGCTCGGCTCTCAGATGAACTCTTACCGATTCAACACATGTATCTGGGTTTCAAGTTCTTCTTTCTTTGCCTCTAAGAGCTCAATTCTGTCCTCATGCTTTCGGCACCTGTTTTCATTTAACGTCTTTCTCTGGGGACATGAAAATAAAAAAATGAATCCATGCCTTTTCTCAGAATGTTCCACAAAAACATAATTCAAATATTTTACTCTTTACTCAGAACAACCCCATGGGATTCTGAAATCAATAAAGGCCAGCAGTAAGCAAAAAGAGAACACCAACAATGTGTGGACTCACAATGACGTTAAAATACAACCGTTACATTTTCAATTTGGCCTTAAAATTTAAAATTCACTTTAAATATCCAATAGTTCACACTTTAGTGAACAACGTTTCATACATTCTACAGCGTCAGCAGGCATTTGATGCATCAAATCAATAAATGGAAAATACTGAAAGAGAAAACCTCAGAAATGAAAACATTAGTGAAAGCACAATAACTACAGTAAATATGTAACAGTATGACTACGATTACTATACTTGAACCGATCTTTGGAAACAGCAAATGCTAAATTTACAGGATGCAGATTTCATGCACAAAAAAAATACAAATTAAAAAAAAAAAAAAAAATTACATATGAACAAGCTGCAGAAGTTGGACACAGCTGGATGTGTGAATGTAACTTATAGCAACTTCTTACAATGCAGAAAAAAAAAAACACTCAGGTGTCATGGCAGGTGGCAAAACTGTGTTTTTTTGTTTTTGTAGATATATTCGATTAGTGTAACACAGTGGGTGATGGAAACATGACCAGTGAGTGTAAAATGACAGAATATAGTAAAATATTACCTTCTTTTGCGCTGCAGCAGCTCGTTGTAGTTTTCCTTTAACCTGATTGTATTTTTCTTGTAACTGAGAGAGCTGATCATGCAAATTGTGCTTTTCCTCCAACCATTCAATACGGTTCCCCTCTAGTTCCCTGTAAAGTTTAAATTGAAAAAGCAGACACCGTCTTTATACTTTCTAACAGTTTTACTACAAATAAAACCAGTCAGACTTTTTTTTACAGACAATATTAGCAGCATTATTTTTACTCCTTCAGCACATGCATGGAATTCAATGCATTTTAGAGACTACAGCATATACATTTAAAGGGACACCATACTCACCAGAACAACTACAGCTTAATGTAGTTGTTTTGGTGAGTATAATCATTGATTTTAGGAATTTTCATGTAAACACTGACTTTTCAGAGAAAAGGCAGTGTTTACATTGCCCCTAGAGACACCTCCAAGTGGCCACTCCTCAGATGGCCACTGGAGGTGCTTCCTGCCTCAGTGCTGCACAGTAAGCAGCCCTGCTGTTTAGCGTCTCCACGCTCTGCATGGGGACGCTGAATTTTCCTCATAGAGATACATTGATTCAATGCATCTCAATGAGGAGGTGCTGATTGGCCAAAACAGCGTTTGGCCCCGTCCCCTTGCTGATGTTAGCCAATCCAATGCTTTCCCCGGGGGAAAGCATTGGATTAGCTAAAAATTGGCAATTCTGATTATGTCAGCAAGGGTGTGGGGGCAGAGCCAGCTCCGTCGGACCTGCATGGCGCGGTCAATAAGGAGACTTTTATTCCTTTTTAGGGGAGCAAGCCACCTTAATAGTGTGTTTTGCACTATATAGTCAGGAATACACGTTTGTGTTTCTGACCCTATAGTGTTCCTTTAATTCCTAATGGAATTCTAAATAATGATATATTTATACTCAAAAGTAAAATAATAATAAAACAAAATACCATATGTACATTGTGCTAGCAAATGTTTAGATTTAAAAATTGATCCCTTCCCCATTCAATAATTAATATTTTAGCACAAAGTCGACAGACCTCTTTGCTGAAGAATTGACTAACAATGAGAGAAGGAGAACTCTACCATAGTTGGCATAAAATATACATACATACATACACACACTGAATAGATCAGTTATCTTTATGTTAAATAATATATTCAATGCCTATGGTGTCATTTCAGCTAAAAATCGACATGTCAAGACAAGTTAGCTCTAAAGAGGAATTATCACTTCCAGATAAGTGATTCACCAAGGTAAATATAGCAGCAGAGGTAACAAAGCAAAACACACACAAAAAATAAAATAAAAATACAACACTGTGAGAATTAATTTAAAATAGTTTGTTCAGGATTGCAAAATTTAACAAAACAAATGGCAAACGTTTAGTTATCCATTTGGTGTTGCTAAAGCTGTGAATGGGACAGTTCCTCATAAACTACAATCACATTCTCATGACAAGTTCACTTTAAATCATTTGCAAACCTTGCATGAAATCCCCTTTAAACTATAGTCACTAGAAATTAATGTAGTGGTTCTGGTGTCTATAGCCTGTTCCTGCAGTCTTAGTACTGGAAACACTGCCTTACAGAAAAAAGGCAATGTTTACATTGGTGCCTAGGAACACCAAACCTTTCATCTTCACAGAGTTGAGGGCTGGTGTATTCCTGACATTATAGTGTTCCTTTAATTACGACAGGGGACCTTTAATACTTGGACATTTTCAAATACAATAACTAAGGCTTACTTCTCCGCATCATGCTGGACGCGTTCTGCATGGCTTCTTGTGTTACGTATTTCCTGTTTTAACCTCTCTACGTTTTCTTGCAGCTTTTCATTAGTGCGTAATAAGTGGTTTTCTGATTCAGACATAGAAGTTACCTGAATTTTCAATTCTTTAATTTCCTATAGAGTAAATGAAACACAAAATAAAAAAAAAATATATATATATTTAAAAAAAAAAACAAAACCAAAACACAATCTTGTTAAAAAGGGACACTCCATTAACCAACAACTAAAAACAAAAAGAAACACAAAAACTACAAATAATTTTTTTAGTAGATATGCCTAAAATATAAAACAGCTTGCAAAAGCTGCAGTTCTGTTTGCAGCCTTTGCAATCCCTTCCCTTCCTCCACCACCCAGGCTGTTCAATCATAGACTTCCCAATGCAGCTCAATGAGAAGTGTTTGCAAGGCACGTCCATTGTGCTAAACCACCAGAAAGTAACAGGACTGATTGTCAAGACACAATCTTCACATATATATTTTAGCAAGTTAAAGTGCTTTAGGAGTCCAGAGTGTCCCTTTAAATAATAGTGTGTAAAACAACCTGGATGCTGAATATCGCCATTAAAACAGAGCTAATGCCCATTTTTTTCTTTTACACTTAGAATACTAGCTTACCAGTTGTACATTAATGTAGAAGGCTTTTGCAACTAAACCCACTTTATTTTACCTATATCAGCTGTTAACGTACATTGAAAAGGGACACTATAGGCACCCAGACCGCTTCAGCTCTTTGAAGTGGCCTGCATGCAGTGTCCCAGGTCCCTTAACCCTTATGGTATGCATGGGGACATCCAGCATCACCCAAAACCCTACAGGATAGCATTATACATGCTTTCCTATGGGAAAATCCCTAAAACGAGTGCAGCGATTGCTGCGCATGCGCATTAGGTCTCCCCCACCAGCTGACGTCCTAAGTCAGTGCCGAGGAACATAAGCGCAGAACTCAGGTTTTTAACCCTTCCTGCACCGGAGGGGGGTGCACCAGATAGGGGGCACTATAGTTTACCCTATAATGGGATTAAGGCTACGGTGAAGTCTAATTTTCTGTATTTTGTAGCCAGTATCAATAGATCTCTTATGATGCATGCGCAGGTAAATACAGACTTTCCCCTTGTTATTATAGAAATATTCTGTTTGCAGTTTTCATACATTCAATAGATTTGTGTGCTTTAAGTGCTACCTGTTTAAGATCTGCTTCATCTCGTTTGCTTTTCTGCAGCTGCTCTGTGTAAACCATTTGCTGTTGAAGTTTGGACCTATAACCAAAAAAAATAAAAATAAAATAAAAACACAATGAAGGAACACTTTAGAAGTACAAAAACCATCTAACACATCACAGGCAATATGGAAACTCTTGATAAAATGTACATTTAATTTATGAATGACTAATTATGAATTACAGCAGCTAGGTGTATGCAATTGCTAGCTAACTGAAGTCTAAACGGAGGGATGGATGAAAACCTTTACCAAAAAGGCACTTTGTTGCCTGCAGGAATTCAGTTGCAGTTTGAAAGAAAATATTAACACAAATTAAGTTATCTATATCCATCCAATTATTAAAAATGTGTGATCTTCTTTAAGAGTGAAATTTATTTTACTTTGTCTAGATAAATGATTTTTGCCCTGCACCGCCACTGTATACAAAACGTTACCCATCTCAAAACACAGGACCTCCGAACCGAACCTCCTGCATCCACCACAAGATTTCAAAGCTTCCCTTTAAATTACATGTGATGTTGAATCACATGACATTAGCTCCATCTCAATATACCAGATGATACATGCCTAACCCGTTAATGTCTGTCATTTGAAAGATGCAGGAGTGTACCCAAAATGTCATGGGTAGGCAAAGTCCCCCTTGAAGGACAACTGTCGACTCAAAACTATTTTACTATAATAATCTTCTATCTTAAGTGTATGACATGATCTTTCAGCCATATACATACACCTGGAGTCAGACAGTGTTTGGAAAATCAACAGTAATTCTCCATGGTCTTACCAGCTTCTGTGCAGGGAGCAAAGCAGGGAAGACCATAGAGACTAGCTGCCTGTTTTCAAACAGTCTGCCCCAAGGTGTGTATATATGGCAGTCAAAATTAGTATTTCATAAAGATTCTATTTTTATAAAAATAAATAAAAATAATAGTCATATTTCAGGGGTGCTGGAGGGAATTGTCTGTGTCCCACAGGATCACCCATTGACCTCAATGCTACGCTATTTCAGCCTTTTCCTCCAATAAAAAGGTCATATACTGTTTAGAGTTAACGCACTCTCCCAACTGAAATTTCCTAAATAGTTTCTTTGTTCCCAACTGTACCGAGCATGGAGCAACCAGTTTATTTAATATTATGCTCATTCTCAATTACGTGGCCAGAGAATATCAAATTCGATTTCATTTTGAATCCAGCTTCCTAACTGCACGAATAATATTACATTGTTTCAATATTTCATTTTTTTAACCTATACATTCTTATGCAAACAAGTGCACTGACACTTTACAGTTTGTTATAGTAGCTTGCCTAGGCAACTGATAACTACACATAGCATGTCCTCCAATCACCACTGGTTCTTGGAAAGATCTCTTGTATCTCACATGACAAGCACATTTTGGTTAGCAATATATAGATTATGTGACTGATTAATAATAAAGTTATTACATCTCCTCAATATTGTGCTGATAAAAATGTCATAAAATATTGTATGCATCACTACTCCGAAAGAGATTTATTCACTAAAAGAATTGTAGTGAATTGAAGTAAAAAAAATAAATAAAAATGCAAGATAGCCAAGTTGTAACTGTAGCGATGGATAAAGAACATTACCAAATAAACTTTGCAGTTCTGATATCCAACATCAAAAGTCTACAATTTGTATTTAGAGAGCAAGCATCAGAGGTGTGCCCCAACAAATTGCAAACCAGATTTTGTTTGGGGGAAAATGCCTTACTTTTTGTTTTAACAGCAATAGAAAAGTAAAAGGTTTAAAAATAGATAAACTGTGATCGAAGGTAAGTTACAAAGTGAAAATTACACAAACACACTCACACATTGTTATTCAATCATTTGTAAGTAGTCTGGAATTCAAAGTGAATTTAAAATTTTAGAGCAAAATAGTTAGAATGGGAATATATCTGACAACATTTTCACAGTTAGCTATTTTGTCGTAAATGTAAAATTCCTACTTTAGTGAATAACCCTGTTAAAATTTACAAAAAGCCATCTAACCTCAAGCTTTGGAGCTCTCTGCGGGTGGATTCTTCTGCTAACTGGGCAATGCGGATTTTCTCTTCCAGTTGACTAATTTCTGACTGCTTTTGGTTATCATGGTCCATTTTATACTTCTCAAGTTCAACAATCCGACTTTCAAATTCCAATCTAAAAAACAAACAAAAAATTAATTAATAAATCACAACCGAAAAGGAGACAAATAATGACAGTTTTCTTAAAAGGGAAACTATAGTGCCGAGAAAACAAAATTTTTCATGCTCGCATTAGGATTTTCCCATAAGAAAGCATTATTCAATGCTTTCCTATGGGGATTCCGGTGACGCTGGAAGTCCTCATGCAAAGCGTGAGGACGTCCAGCGTCAGATATGCGACCAAAAGTCCCTCTAGTGGCTGTCTGGTAGACAGCCAGTACAGGTGGAGTAACCCATAAAGCTAATAATTGCAGTTTAGAAAAAAAAAAAAAACTGCAATAATTACCATTGCAGCGTTAAGGGACCTGGGAATATGCAACTTCAATGAGCTGAGGTGGTCTGGGTGCCTATAGTGTCCCTTTAACTCTATAGATATTCGTTAAAACATATCTCCACAAGTTTTTACACTTTATTATTCTAAATATATATTTCAGCAGTCAAAATAAATCTTACCAGACATAAACGTTACCTGGTTAATTTATTAAAATTATAGTGAATAGAAAATAAAATATTCAAAATTCAATATTGCTGCCTTAAAGGTAGGTAATCCTTGTAAAACATGTTTCAGCTAATAGTTGTTGTGTGGAAGTCAAGCATGAAATCTTATTGACACTCAATAGAGCACTGGAAAGTCCGGTAAAAATGTAGATTGGTACACGTGTGAAATATTTTCCAATTACAAAATGTTCAATGCGGATAAAATAGAATATTACAATATAAAAGGACATTAAAGAGTACATTTATCTGCTCACCTTTCATCTTCGAGGGCGGCAATCTGGTGAAATCCCGCCTCTTTGGCTGCCTGTACTTTGCGGATCAACTCGCGCTCTTTTTCGGTCAGTAATTCTTTTTGACGCTCTAGGTTTACTTTCAGGATTTCATTATCAGTTTCCACCGCTTTGTCATTAAAAAATAAAGGACACAAATTAGCATGTATTAAAAGGATTGGAGTTCATTTCACAAATGCCTCTCTTTTAGATTTGCTTAAGGTGAAACCAACTTCCGGACGCACAACACACGAGACCAAGAATATTCTTTAAGTCAAGGGAGTGGAATGGAGCAGCTGTCAAATTGAAAAAAGTGGCGTATGATTCACTAAACCAGGAATCGTAGAGAATTGACATTGGAACGTCAAGTTTGGACCAAAAAAAAAAAATATATATATAAAAATTATATATACATACATACATACATACATACAGACACAGAAAATGTTCCCAATTATTCTACTTTGCAATTATTTTGTTAAAAGAATTCATAAAACTTGTTAAAAGAATTGGCATAATTTTTTTTAATTTTTTTTAATCCTGTTGTATGGCATTCCTTTGTTTACAATTCCTATGTAAGTTTATATATGTAAAAATGTTTGCATTGCAAATGTAGCCCTATACCAGGGGTAGGCAACCTTTTAGCAGCACTGTGCCGATATAGAATTGTGATGTCCCGTAGCGTGCCAATCCTATATTTTTATTTATTTATTTTTTTTTAACTCGAGGGGTGTATGCTGCCGTATTCTGCTTGTGTTATTTTTACTGTAATTGCTTTGTGTCGTTGTATTTGTGCATATATGCAGGGCCGTCTTTAATAGTGACTGGACCCTGGGCAAAACATTTGCTTGGGGCCCCCTGGACCCTGTCCCCCCCCTCCCCAGGCATGTAATCACGTCCTCCACCTCAACGCAGTGGCGGACCTAAAGTAGAGAGGTGCAAGCATTTTTGGGGGTCTCCCTCCAAATGCATTGACAGCTGGGGCTCTACCATTTACCCATGTTTGCAGGTCTGTATTTAGCACTAAGCAGTTTTTGTGTGTTTGAATGTAAACAGGTTTTTGTATGGAATATGTTTGTATGTGGTGTTGGCATGTATTTGTATAGTGTTGGTTTTTGAATGCAGGGGTGTATTTACATATAATTTTGGTGTGTAACACAGACGTGTTTGTACGTAGTGTTGAAATTTGAATGCAGGGGTGTATTTGTGTGCAGAGTTAGTGTGTGAATGCTGAGATGTATGCACATATACACACACAGATATATACACACACTGAAATGCGCACACACACAAACATACTAACATACTAACACACACACACACACACTGACAGACATACACTTTAAAACCCACGCTCCAGTTTCCTACCTTTCCTGCTGGTGGCTGAAGGTTTTGGGAGTTGGGGTCTAGCACTCTCGGCCAGCCCCTCTACTCTTCTTTCCCACGCACTCCTCTCTTTGTGGGAGGAAGTGATGCGCGGCCGTCACTTCCTCCCAGCCTGCTGCCGAAAAGCAAGGGGCCCGCTTGCGCTGTTAAAGCGCCTCAGCATGCGACCGGGCCCCTGCTGACAGAAGCCCATCGGGTGGTCCTTTGTGCATGGGCCACCTGGTGGGCCTCCTTAGTGTGCGGATTACCGGCCAAAGTGTTAGAAATAGTTGAGGCCAAAGGGCTCACGATGTAGCTGGCCTGTTTGCCCCGCGTTAAAGACGGCCCTGCGTATATGAGCTATTATATTGTATATGTTCATGAGTAGTTTATGGTATTGTGTATGATACATAGGAATGTGGGCTGTGTATGGTGGCTGCTTGTGGAATTGTGTGTGTGTGTGGATGGATGTCACAGTGTGTGTTTGGTAGTGTGTGGGTGCTGTTTGGGGTATTGCATGTGGGGTTGTGTGCATGTATGTGGATTGTTAATGGTGTTTCATTTGTGCGGATTGTGTGCATGTTTGTGTGCGGGCTGTCCGTATTATTTTTATGAGGGGAGGGTTATTCTGCATTTCTCTGTATATCTAGCAGTGTGGGTGGGTTCCAGTGGGGACCAAGCTGGCCAGGTACAGGTCAAGGACAGGAGCTGCAACAGCAACTGCGAGCTGCTCTACTACAGTGTGGATTCCTATTCACAAGTGCTGGGAGGAAGTGATCTGAGATCACTTCCTCTATGTGCTGCAATGCATAAATTGAGCAGATATCTGAAGTTTTACTGGGACTCCTGATAGGCCTTGAGTGCCGTGCAAAGACACCTCGAGTGCCGTGCATGGCACTAGTGCCGTAGGTTGCCTACCCCAGCCCTATACAATAAACATTTTGAGCATTGTGCTCCATAGAATATGGTGTAGTGGTGTAGTTAGGAGCACATCATTTTAACAAAGGTTGTTCTAGTATAATGGAATACCGAATACCATCTAGTTGACTTTTGATCTTGTCTCTTTCTCTTTCTGCATCATTCTTTTTCCGTTCAGCTTCTAGCTTGATGTTATCAATTTCAATTTTGTGAGCATATTTGATTTCATCAATCTGTAAAAAAATAAAAATAAAATAAGAATCTCGAACTATAGTATAGTATATACTATTCATACTTAGACCAGCAGATGGTGCTATTAAATTTTTAATCAAACTGAACTTTTCTTTCCCGAATTTTGCTGTTATCAGTCATTGGTCATATAGTTTACTGTTAATATAGATTACTCTAAAACAAAACAAAAAAAACCACACAGGTGGGTTTACAGAGAAAATGATAAATACCTAAACACATTGAAACAAAATGGAGTAGAGACCCCAATAGTTGAATACTCCTGTGACCAAGGGCTAACACAGGGATCTTAATCTGGCTCAGTAGAACAAAGTACTTAAAAACAGCAACTTATTCTGCAACGCCTTACAATTTTATAAAGAGCGGGAATTTTACAACGAATGAGACAATGACAAATTGTTACAGGAACAATAGGTTGATCAAGATCCTACTCGAAAGAGCTTACAGTCTAGAGGAATGAAAGAAAGGCCATGACCTTTAGAGGGAGTATAACAATCTATGAAGGGTATTTTTTGTTTGTTTAATATAAAAAAGACTGTCAACTCCTCAATGGATTAATATGTAGGCAGTGACTGGATCAGATCACTGCATTTAAAATTATTATTATGTTCAATTAAAATAGCTTGGATTACAAACACAATCCCTGTGCCCAAACAATTCCTGCAATGTAAGATAGTGCTGAAATCCTTATTTCCGTGGCTATGCCTTTAGTTGTGGGAGCTCTACCGGTTACTGCTGTGGTAACCAATTTCAGTTACAGACTGTGCATGTAGAACCTAAGTCAACAAACACAGGAAGTAAGGAACCCCAAGATTACTTTGTGCCAATTAAATTTTTCTGTTATCGGAGAAAGGATTGCTTGAAATAACTTTGTAATCAGCACAGAATGAGATACGTTTTTCAAAATGGTAAGTAGCTGGCAAAAAATCTAAATCATTTGAATGCCCAATCTATGCCTCAATATACTGAATAAAGTTTGGCATGTTAAGGAAATTCTTCTAAAACAAAATATATGCAGGTTATTAAAATAAATAAATCTTAAATGGCAAAGCACAATGTGCAAAGAAATAAAAAATAAAAAAAAATAAAAAATTCTATTAAAACCATTTAACACTTACTCTTGTAGAAAGCTCATTAGCTTCCCGCTCTGTTCTGTGCAGTTTAGTAGTGAGGGTGTGATTTTGTTCTGTGGACAATTGGAATTCTTTTTCCAAACGTTCAAGTTGCAGTTTCACAGACTGTTTTTCGGACTAGCAAAAAAAGAATATTTGTAATGCAGTTATGTGTTAACACACATTCATTAATTACACATTCAAATTACCATCAGATAATAGAGGGTTACTCAGGCCTGAGAGCGTTTTTGGAGGTATTTTATCTTTTAATCAAATTCTAAAAAAACTGGTAAAAAAAAAAAAAAAAAGTTTAAAGATGACTTGGATCTTAGAGGCAACATTTTACCATCTATGAGGATAAATTTTCTTGGGGATCTTTTGAAAGAGGTGGATTTGTCTAATTGGATAACTATCAGCATTACTAGGACAACAGATATATTGGATAATGACAAAATTAAACCTTTTGGGGAATTGATTGCTAAATACAAGCTATCCAAAAAGTTACATTTTTTAAACTATCTAAAAATTGATGCATACGGGTCAAAAAAATTGAATTTTCAAACAAATTCAGAAACTCTTCAGATATTGGAAAAACCCAATTAGCCCCACTTGGCAACAAATTGAAGCTCAATTAGGTCACCGGTTAAAAATGGAAAAAGGAATTTCAACTCCCTCAAATATAAAAAATATGACACTTAGGTTTATGGGACAATTGGATTAAAAAAAACAAACAAACAAAAAAAAAAAAAACAACCTAGATTGGTTATAAATTGGGGGACATAAATAAGAGTAGATCCCTTAGCACATTTTAGTCAAAAAGGAACCTTGCCCCCTCTCTCCTGAGAATGTGAATAATACTTTTTCTTTCCCCTTCTCTTTTTTTGTATTGTGTGTTTTATGATTACGTTTTATGTAGTAATGCAAGTGATTTTTAAAATAGGAAACTCATGTAGTCAAGAAAGAGAGAAGAGGAAAGGGGAGAAGAAGGGAAATCGATTTATTCTCTCAAGGGAAGGAAAGAGAAAGGAGAAGGATGAAGGAAAAAAATAGAGGGAAATATGAATGCTTCCGATTTGATGATATGAGATTCTTCTGACGATAAGTTTTCCAATGTGATATGAATGCTTTATATTGTGTATAATTCTAATAAAGATCAATTTAAAAAAAAAAAAAAGTTTCGATGGGAGAAACCCTTCCTATCCCGATTCCCCCATATTAAATGCTAATGTCAGATGTCCAATACGCCCAGAACAAACATTAGCCATACAGGAACACTTGTTCCAGGCTCACGAATGGTGCCCTAATGACACTGGCGGAGATGGAGTTAGAACTCTGGCAGCAACTGGGTCAAACTCGGTATGTACCACATTTCAATGCAAAACACTGCACTACTCTTCGCACCATGACCACTTCAAATCTCTGACATGGTCACGGTGCTTGGAGTAACCCTTTCTATTTTATGTATTATATTTGTATCTCACATTTTAGAAATGTTATATTGATATGTAAAGGGTCATTGCGGGCACCAATAGAACTTTAATGCATTTGGCCTCATTAATATTTTATATTTTTTGCATGACTAAATCTTTATAGTTTTTTTGCGCACCGTATGCATAACTAGGATAGTCATTTGCTTCCTCTCACACACCTATCCAACTCACATATACACAAACAGTCACACACACTTCTAACTAGCAATACTCTCTTGCACACCCTCAGCGAAACACTGATACAAAAAGAGAAAAAGCAAACCACACACACACACACACCACTAGTTTTTCCTCCATTTCTGCGGCTTTCTCAATGCGTCCTATGGCACCTGTAGTTCCTACTTTGTCTCCAAGAAGAGTTCTAATCAAGCCCAGTCTGGATGGCTGCTGAGATCTGACGAGATCAGGCATGTTCAGACTGGTACGGCTCAATGCTACAGAAGCGGAGAAATGCAATTGGAAACGGTTGACTCCCATCACTCCAATCCTGCTCCAACACTTGGTTAGCAAGAGACCACTACAAATCAGCTGTATCTTATCAACTTCAGGAAACTTTGGCTGTACTGAGGAAGGTCTGCGCTTATGTTACAGATGAATATTTTTTAGGTGGAAGAACATTTTTAGGAGTTCTGTACATACAAAGGAATACCCTTTTTATTTTAAATAATCACCAGTTGAACTTTTATGGCATATATTAAATAAATTGATAGAACATATATAGCCTTTTCAATCATTTTCATATTTATTAATTCCTTTATTTATTAATGACTTCTCTTTTTAATATACCTGGATATATCAGAGGAGATTGGAAGGTATTACTGGCTGGCATTTTATGGACTATAATGGGCATATAACATGAAGGAACTTCGAAACTTCAAAGACTATTTCAGTAATAGAAGTCGTTTCTTTTTGTTAACCCCTCCAGGACCGCTGACAGTTCAGGACCGTCAGTGGTAAAATGTGCGTTTGGACCGCTGACGGTCCCGAACCATCATAGCGAAGAACAGGCTGCGGAAAGCGATCAAAGATCGCTCCCGCCAGTATAACACTAACTATCTGCCAGACATCCCAGGTATGCTTGATCGCTCACAATTGGCTGCTGTCAAAGTGGGTGTTACAAACACTCACTTTGACAGTGATCTCTGCCCTTCTCTCCTCTGTAGCGTTTTGTGAGGCGAGAGAGAAAGAGATCGTGATAGTTTGTTGCAGCAGAAGTGTTCCACAGCTTTATACAGTATCTAAAGTGAATTTAAAAAAAAAAAAAAAAAAAACATTTTTAACCCCTTCCCTGCCAGATCTGTTACAGCAGTGCATTTGTGCTGTCTGTATTTATTTATTTTTACCCTTAAAGGGTTAAATTTGTTTTAAAAATCTGTGTCTTGGTCAGTCAGTCAGTTTCCTTTCCCCAAATCTCCATTAGATTTTTGTGACAGGAGTTAGTTTAGGGGTTGCTGTTTAGTCTGTTTTAGTAAAAAAAAAAAAAAAAAAAAAAAGTATAAAAATAAATTTGTGTGTTTGTAATTTGTTTTAGTCGTGTGTAAAACATGCAGCATATGTATAACTTGCAGGAGGCATATGCCTTCTTGGCGTCAGAATCTGACGCCACTGACACTGCGTCAGATTTTGACCCATGTCGGTTTTCTGACACGTCTAGTCAAGACGACACGTCATCTGTGTGTGAGCCGGCTGTGCTTCCTCTGCTATGCCGAATGTGGAGGAGGACTGGGTACCTCCACAGTTAGCCGAGCCCAACGTCCCCCCTTTTAGTGCCAACGCAGGCATTAATGTTATATAATGTGGATGGCTTCTCCCCAATGCAGTATGTAGAACTATTTTTAGGGGATACCATCTGGGAGGAGATTGCTTCCCAGATTAACTTGTATGCTACCCAATTTATTGATAACAATCCAGGTAGCTATACAGTCAGGGAGCATAACTGGCATCCCACAGATGTCCCGGAGCTTAAAAAATTCTGGGCTCTTACAATGCTCATGGGGATTATAAAGAAGCCATCGATTCGCTCATACTGGAGCACCAACCCAATAATGTCTAGTCCAGTATTCTCCCAAACCATGCCTAGAGCCAGATACGAGTTACTGCTGAGATTTTTAAATTTCAGAGACAATACCCTCTGTCACCCATGAGATCACCCCCAATACGATAGGCTTTATAAAATACGCCCACTGCTAGACCATTTTCAGGACAAATTTTCGGATGTTTATACCCCCCAACAAAATTTTCCATAGATGAATCTCTAATGAAATACAAAGGGAGATTAGGGTTCAGACAATACACCCCCTCAAAGCGCTCTAGGCATTAAACTGTACAAACTGTGCGAGAGCGAAAGTGGATACACATTTGCCTTTCGTGTATATGAGGGGAAAGATGGCCAACTGGACCCTCCTGGCTATCCTGACTCCCTGGGGACAAGTGGGAAACTTGTATGGGACCTACTAAACCCCTTGTTTAATAAAGGTTACCACCTTTATGTGGATAATTTTTATAGTAGTGTCCGTCTGTTTAAAACACTTTATGTTTTACAGACACTGGCCTGCGGCACTGCCAGAAAAAATTCCAAAGACTTTCCACGATCTCTCATAGAGGCAAAATTTAAAAAAAAAAGGCGAATGTAAAGCACTTCGCACAGTTGAAGTGCTTGCACTAAAATTTAGGGACAGGAAGGATGTCAACATGCTAACCACCATCCATGACGAACGCATGTCAGGAGTCTCTGTCCGGGGCAGAGTAGAGTCCAAACCGGTTTGCATCAGGGCGTATAATAAGTACATGGGGGTGTCGATTTGGCTTGTCAGCTGATACAGCCATATCTTATTTTACGAAAAACCAAAGCATGGTATAAAAAAGGTGGCTATCTATATGATGCAAATAGCAGCCCACAACTCATTTTTGCTTTTTTTTTTAAAAATAATCCAGGGAAAACCACCTTTCTCCAATTTCAGTTGAAAATTATTTCTTTAACAATTTATGGAGATGGACAAGTTCCAACAATGGTGCAAGCGGAGTCCAGACATTTTATTTTTAAGTTACCGCCAACTGCTAGGACAAAAAAACAAAAAAAAAAAACAAACGTTGCCGGGTCTGTTTTAAAAACGTGAAAAGGTCAGACACGCCTTTTCACTGTCCTGATTGCCCTTCGAAACCAGGACTGTGTGTAGGAACATGTTTCAAGCTGTACCATACAGAACAGTTGTAAGAAGTGTTCCTGAATTTTTATTTTATGTTTCTTTGGAAAGCAACCATTTTTTGTTAGTCCGTTTCCTTCCCCCAAATCTCCAGTTAGATTCTATTTGCAGGAGTCAGTTTAAAGATTGCTGCTAAATGTACATTTGCTACCTGCACATTTGGTCTAACAAATTTTATGGCAGTAACACATAACCAGATGATGTGTGCATAAAAAAAAAAAAACAGAATTAGAAAATTACCACTACACTTTCTTTGGGGGGCAAAATGGTTGGGGGAAAGAAGTCAAAACACCCCATCTTCTATAGCCTTTGATGTCTACTTTATAAAAATATATACTATATATACTGTCATGATGGTAACATTAACTGGGGGGTGCAAAAATATGTCAAACTGAAGATAGATCAAGCATACCTATATATCAAGTTGCAAAACTTACATGTACAAGTTCTGATTGTTGCCTTTTGGCCCCCAAACAACCCAGCAACCCTATACATGGGGGGTATCACTGTACTCGGGAGATGTTGCTGAACATATTGGACAGTGACACATAACAGGATCTCTTAATTCATGCCAATTCAAGTACAATGCGTATGACAAAGAAACAAAAATAAAAAAAGATTACTACCCAAAAGTTTGACAAAGGCTGGTGGTAGCATTCAGTGCATGAAAAGTGTTAAAATACCACCATTTAAAATACCCTGAGTTGTCTACTTTTCAAAAGTATATGGTTTGATGGGGGTAAAATACATTGGCTCAAATGGGACATGGGCGCAGGTTGATGTCAAAATTCCAAGTTGGGAAACTGATAAGCGCACCTGCCAAACGTGGCCTTTTAGCCCCCAAAGAACCTGACAAGCCTATGCATGGGTGGTATCGCTGTATTCAGGAGATCTTGCTGAACACATATTGGGGTGTTTGGCAGTGATACATAACAGGATCTGTTAATTCATGCCTAAAGTACAATGTGTGTGAAAAAAAACAGAAAAAAAATTACTAACTCAATGTTTGACAAAGCCTGGGGGTAGAATTAGTGCATGGAAAGTGTTTAAATACCACCATGTGAAATACCCTAGGGTGTCTACTTTTCAAAAATATATGGTGTGATGAGGGTAAAATACATTGGTCGGCTTCAAAAAAAAGTCCCAAATAGGACATGCATGCAGGTTGACTACATGTCAAAATTCCAAGCTGGGAAACTGATATGCGCACCTGCAAAACGTGACCTTTTAGCCCCCAAACAACCCAACACACCTATACATGGGGGGTATCACTGTACTCGGGAGATGTTGCTGAACACATACTGGGGTGTTGTTTGGTAGTGACACCTAACAGAATCTGTGCATTTATACCTGAATTGCAATGTATGTGAAAAAAAAAAAATATATACCTATGCAAAGTTTGTTAAAGGTTTGTGGTAAAATGGCTGCATAGAAAGTATAAAAGTATTCTTAGATGAATACCCTGGATTATCTAGTTTAAGAAAAATATTTACATGTGGGGTGTTTTTTGGAGATTTCTGACATAGTGTTACAATGTCACTATTGATACATTTGAAAAATGTACATTTTGAAACAGCAATTTCCTACTTGTACTTATAGCCCTATAACTTGCAAATAAAAGCAAAAAAAAACAAAAACACTGGGTGTTTTTAAACTCAGGACAACATTTTTAATCTATTTAGCAGTTTGTTTCATTCAATTTTGTAGATCAGTAAAAGATATTTTTTTTCCCCACCATATTTTATTATTATTTTTTAATTAAATTATATGACATGATAAAAATTAATAGTATGTAAAGAAAGCCCTTTTTGTCCTGAAAAAAAAAATATATAATTTGTATCAGAACACTAAATGAGAGATCGGAAAATTACAGCTAAACACAAACACCACAAAAGTGTTAAAATAGCTCTGGTCCCTAACGCACAAACATCGCAAATCAGTCCGTTCTTGAAGGAGTTAAGTGTACTTTAGGTGCATTGCTACATCCTGATACTTTTGTATCAATATGCCTTTTTAGCCACCAGGTGGCGTGATGACAGAAGGGATAGGGTGAATGTGTATTTGCATTATGTTTGAGAATCACTAATAAATAATAACGGTTACCTCCAGAGATCGGATTGTTGTCTGCGTCTCTGCCATTTGTCGAACCTGTATCCTCTGAACGTTTTCGGCCTGAGAACCATAATGTTCTCTCTCGGCTCGCAGCTCTTTCACTTCATCTTCTAAACCTTTTACTTTTTGAAGCAAGTGAGCTTTATCCCTCAGGAGATCTTCCACTCGCTTGCCGTCTCTTGTGTGATCAACACTTACGATCTGATTATTCAACTCCTCCTTATCCTTTTCCAAAGCAGAAATCTCCAATAGAAGAAAAAAAATAATTAAATAAGGTGTTTAACTTATCCCAATATCTAACAAAATAAGTATATGTGAGGTGTAACAAATAAAACCCAAAGGCAGAGATCCACTCTCCGATTCTGCAACTGTGGGCAAAGTGTAAGATTTCATTTTTTAAATCTTCAATGTAACTTTAACGTAAACAGAACAGGTCATGAAAAAATAAGAAAAACAAGTTACAGGAGACTTTAATTTGGGCTAATTCCAGATAAGTTGCAGTTCCCCTTTAAAAGTAAACCAATCATATAAAGGGGTGGGAGTGAGGGGACCTCCAATGCTTTTACTCTAATTGTGATAGAACACCAAAGCAGTTTTAAAATAATTTTTAAGAAAAACAAACACACCGATTATGTTTTCAAGTATCAGCACTGATTGTAGAACTGGGCCTTATTAGGTAATCTCATATATTAACAGTTTTCAAAATAAAGCTCCATCCTACACCGTGCACTCCAAATGTCATTAATACCTCTGCTTCATATTTCATCTTTTGTTCCTCTGAAACGCGGGCATGCTGTTCCTTTTGATGCTCAAACTGTGATTTCAGAAAGGTGTTTTCATACCGCAATTTGTTATAATCGTCTTTATATTTTTCCGCTTCCTTTAATGTAATAAAGAACATTTAGCACAGATTATCTTAAAACAGGACTGGGGATCATAATCTGCAATCCAGCCTTCTCTACAAAGCAGTTAGTTTGGAGCAGGGACTATTACCGTGCCAGCCTAGAAGTCTATGAACGCCATTTGTGAACGGTTAGATTCTTCTAGAGATTTCAGATCAACTGACAGCTGGAAACTGCACTGCCAGTTACTGCTCTCACACACCAACAGCACTGTAATCCCTGCCAGTGACTGCTCTCACACACCAACTGCCAACAGCATTGTAATCCCTGCCAGTGACTGCTCTCACACACCAACTGCCAACAGCACTGTAATCACTGCCAGTTACTGCTCTCACACACCAACTGTCAACAGCACTGTAATCCCTGCCAGTGACTGCTCTCACACACCAACTGTCAACAGCACTGTAATCCCTGCCAGTGACTGCTCTCACACACCAACTGCCAACAGCACTGTAATCCCTGCCAGTGACTGCTCTCACACATCAACTGCCAACAGCACTGTAATCCCTGCCAGTGACTGCTCTCACACACCAACTGCCAACAGCACTGTAATCCCTGCCAGTGACTGCTCTCACACACCAACTGCCAACAGCACTGTAATCCCTGCCAGT